AAGCCATGTATGTTTCTAAATATAAATTTAATCCAAACAAACGTTGATATTAAAATAAATATATAACACCAAATTCGTTACATCAAATTGTCCATATTTTTAAAACAATGATTTGATCATGTATCCTAGCAACTAGGTGTGATATACATAACAAGCTGTCCATATTTTCAAAACAATCATTTGATGATGTATCCTAGCAACTAGGTTTTATCATGCTATGTGATGTATAACATCTAACACTAAAACAATCACAGATGTAGAAGACGTGGTATTTGTACATTGTACCTAGTTGCCAGGATACATTATCAAATGATTATTTTGAAAATATGGACAGCTTGTTATGTATGTTACCATTACATTTTTATTAACTGAAAATACCATAAAACGAACGTTTAACCAATGAGAATTATGCTTCAAATACTCTTTGTTTGAAAGGCCATTTATTTAAGAATATCTCAGAATATTAAAACGTAAACTAGATAGTTTTAGACAAACATGTTGAAATATAAGAAATGGGTGAATTATTCTTTAATTAATATATTTCTCCGCCTATGTAATCTTTGTGTTAGTGTGCATTTCTTTGAAATGTTAACTTAACTGATAACATTCGATTTAAAATTGGATTAAGACGGCTGAAAACAACAACAAAATCATGTCATATATACAAGTAAATCATATCTTCAAGTAACTAGAATTATCATGCAATTAGCCTATAAAAATACAAAGATTTTTTTAAAAATATTCGTCATTTGAAATCTTTAACGTTTTATCGAAAACTTTCCAATCAAGATCTTTAGTTGGAGCAAATAAAAATGTTTTGGAAAAATTCAAAGAAAAAGAATGAAAGTGGACTATTCATCTAAATAATGGCGCATTAGAATATTATTATGATTAGAATAACTTAAGTAGTAGTTATATCTCATGACTAGCCTCAACCCGCCATTTGCCTTAAACATCGAGAGGCTACTTTAATTTTTATTTATTAGCGTAGAAGAGTTTTCGATCAATTAAATTCTACAATCTTCTATTCACTTAGGAGTTTGTACAGAAAAGGTCTATAAAAAGTATATTTGAATACCGAAAAGTTAACATCCAACAATTGTTATATCTAGTAAGACGTAGGGTTCCGTCGGATTGCAGTCGACATCTCATATATTCTATTGAAATTTCTCACTTAATTGTACTTTATAATAAGTTGTTACTGGTGTTAAACATATCATAAATGATGACTTATAGAAAAGGTTATCAATAGTGTTTAAGTGTTTTCTAAATTGTTTCTTGCAACTTCGTGAGATGTTATTGGGATTACGCCCGAAAATATCGTTAACAGCGAGGGTACACAACTGACGAAACAATGCATTATAATTTCGTTTCGCTTCAAGTACATAGCTTTTTCTGATCGGAAGTTAATGTTAATAAGCTGTCACTGGTGTTAAATACTTTCTAAATTGTATCTAGTATAACAAGATGTCACTAGTATCTATTAGATAGTTTCTAACTGATGCCGTGCACTGCAAGTTGTCATTAGTATTTATTAACAATTTTTGAAACAGTATTCACTGATGTCCCCTTATATCCACTTTAAAGGCTGTCACTGGTGTTTATTAAGTATTTTTAAAACAACATTTAGTGATGTCCCCTGGTATTCACTGTAAAAGTTGTCCCTAGTGTTAAGTATTTTTGAAACAGTATTCACTGATGTCCCCTGGTATCCACTGTAAAAGTTGGCCCAGTGTTAAGTACTTCTGAAACAGTATTCACTGGTGTCCCCTGGTATTCACTGTAAAAGTTGTCCCTAGTGTTAAGTATTTTTGAAACAATATTCACTGATGTCCCCTGGTATCCACTGTAAAAGTTGTCCCCAGTGTTAAGTATTTTATAAATAATGTTTGGTAGAAACAATTGTTACCAGTATTTGTTAACAATTTTCAAAATGGCTGTTGCACACTAAGTATTTTATGTTTAACTGGTGGTTTATATGACACTCTCTGTTTGTATAACTTGATAAGTGCCTCGTAAAACAAACTCGATTGGTGACTTGTACAACAGTATGACTCGATAAATTTCCACTAAAACAAATCCGATTGGTGACTTGTACAACAGTATGACTCGATAAATTTCCACTAAAACAACTCGACTAGTGACTTGTACAACAGTATGACTCAATAAATGTCCACTAAAACAACTCGACTAGTGACTTGTACAACAGTATGACTCAATAAATGTCCACTAAAACAACTCAACTAGTGACTTGTACAACAGTATGACTCAATAAATGTCCTTTAAAACAAACTCGATTGGTGACTTGTACAACAGTATGACTCAATAAATGTCCTTTAAAACAAACTCGATTGGTGACTTATACAACAGCATGACTCGATAAATTTCCACTAAAACAATTCGACTAGTGACTTGTACAACAGTATGACTCAATATATGTCCTTTAAAACAAACTCGATTGGTGACTTGTACAACAGCATGACTTGATAAATGTCCTTTAAAACAAACTCGATTGGTGACTTGTACAACAGCATGACTTGATGAATATTATATAATCAAAACATGTCTGACCTTCCTTAATTCCATTTACTACGTGAGGCTAAAAGATGGCAAAAATATTTCTTTCGTAAAGATACAGTTAACTAAAAACAGGTT